CTGAGTTCAAATCCGGCCTCAGACACATGACACTCACTAGCTGTGTGACTCTGGGCAAGTCACTTAACCCCAATTGCCTCACAAAAAAAAACCAAAACCCTCCAAAAAAATAAAATAAAATAAAGATAGTAAAGCAATTTAAAAAAATCGTTCTAAGACTTTTGGGACGTACATATCTTGTATGTTTCGTTATCTGCATATTAACTTCTCTAGACTTCATCATGGTCTCCTCATCCTGATGATCAATCACATCATCCCTGAAGCTCATACTTCCTCAGGACCCGTGCCCTGGGGCGTCTCCCTCTGGTCCTCGCTCTGATTGGAGCAGAGGGAAGGTTGACATCAGAGAGCGCCTCCATTTAAGGCTGGTACCCAGGGCCACCGCTCATCATCTCTGCATCCCTCTAGATTTTATCCTTCCTCTGTGCTGGGTACCCTCTCTCCTGCCTCCCCTTTCACCTTTTTATATATTGTCTCCCCCACTAGATTGTGAATTCCTTGAGGGTAGGGACTTTTTTTTTTTTGCCTCTCTTTGCCTGGCGTGTGCCAGTGGGTGCTTTATATATGTTAATTGATTGACTCACTCCTCTATTAGAATGTGAGGTCCTTGAGGGTAAGGACTGGTTTTTATTGTTTGTTTGTTTTGTGGTTTTTGCTTTTTTTTGTATCTCTAGAGCTTAGCACTGTGCCTGGCACACAGTAAAAACAAAATGCTTGTTGGCTGACTCCATAAATATCAGTAAAAACCCTACCTGTGGCCCTTTCTAGCAGAAAGACTCACTATTACCAGCTGCCGCTGAGATGCCCCATAAAATGGGCAACTTTGAATAGAAACAAGGGAAAGGGGACCCAAGAGGGACATCTTGATCACAGGATCGGATCCAAAGACCAGAGGAGGGGGAGGTTGACCTGGTGCCAAGGTACTAGATGAAATCGTCTTTCACTCCCGTTTTTATGCTAGTAGTTGTGACGGTGAGGTCACCCGGCTCTCAGAAACCTTAGAAGCAATATTCGAGTGGCCCAACAGATGGAGGTGTGATTCCATGGAAGACGCTTTCCAACAACAATACAAGGTGGGGCTAACAGGATTGTGGGGAGCGCAGGCTCTTCTCTTCCCTCTCCCCCAGGACCATTCTTGCCATGCATTCATAAGATCACAGATTTGGAGCTGGAGGGGAACTTAAAAGCCACGATGTTTATTTTTACAGACAAGGAAAGAGGTCCGGAGAGAGACTTGTCCAAGAGCACGCAGACAGGATGTTACGAGGCAGGACCTGAGCTCTCAGGCAAGGCCCTTTTTGACTTGTACCATGTTAGATTAGAATGATAAAGAAGCTGGGGCTTACAGTCAGTCTACAAGCATTTGCTAAGCACCTACTATGTTTCAGACACTGTGCTAAGGGCTGGGAGCACAAAGGGCAAAAACAGTCCCTGCCCTCCAGAAGTTTACAGTTTCAAATGGGGGAGATGACATGCAAATAACCACATACATATGAGATATATCAAGTGATATTGAAACATTTTCAGTCTAATCTAGAGAACGGGCTCTCTTCCATCTTCTTTGTGTTTGAGACCCCTTTGGTGATTCAGGGAAGCCCATGGACCCCTTCTCAGATTCATATTTTTAAATGAATAAAATAAAATGCATAGAATTACAAGGAAATCAATCATATTGAAATAGTTAACAAAATTTTTAAAAAGTTCACGGACCCCTGATTAAGAATATCTGGTCAGAAAGTTGGAAAATTGTCAAAGAAGGGCTGCATTGGTTAGCTCTGGGTCCTAGGAATTTAGCAAACAGTTCTTTTGGCTACTGGGGTTCTGTTTTCACCACCCACCTAACCCGAATGGATAAAAAAGGTCTCATCATTAAAATCACAGGACAAAGAGCATGGTGTAGTGGATAGAGAACTAGACTTGAGGTTAGGAAGACTGCATTCAAATTCTTCCTCATACTTACTGACTGTGTGACCTTGGGTAAATCCCTTAACCTCTCTGAACCTCTGAACATCATTTACTGCGCTGGTAAAATGATGCAGCTGGACCCAAAGGCACCTTCCAGCTCCAGATCTCCAGTTTCTAACTCAAAGCCCTTTGGGCATGCTCCTCAACTCCCTCCCACCTGACCCAATGTTCACTCTGTCCCCTCTGACAGCTGAGCTTTCATCTTACCTTGCTTGATACCAGGCAACTGCATCACTTCTTGAATGTCTCCAAACCAGGCTGACAGCCCCACCCGTGCCTTTCTGGCTCCCCTTATATGTTGTCTTTCTCATTAGACTATAAGCTCCTTGAGGGCAGGGACTGTCTTGTTTGTTTGTACTTGTATCCCTAGCTCTTAGTATAGTGCCCGGCATAGTAAACACTTAATGAATGCTTCTTCCTTCACTCACCTACGATCTTTGATGAGGAAGTTTTATAACCATTCTTGTCCCAACAAGGGATAGAGTCAGTCAGTCAACAAGCATTTATTAAGTGCTTACTATGTGCCAGATCGAGGTGGTTATTAAAGTCAAATATAAAAGTCGACTAGAGATAGTCCAGCTTCAGAAGAATGCTGTTCTTGATGGACAGGATAGAGGTAGTATCAGGGTAGATGCCTGCACTGCGTAGGCCCTAAGTATACATAAAGGCAGCATGTCATTTTATTAACCATCCAGCAAAGAAGTACAATATTTGACTCAGGTGGTGGTCTCAAATCACCAGCCTAACTGCACCTGTGGGTTAGCATTCCAAAAGGCTACTGTCTCTTCTTTCATCTTTGTCTCACATGAAAAGGTGGCCCTTCTCCTTCTCCTTACTTAGGCAAACCCCTCTACATGCACAAGTGACCCCATTCCATCCTATCTTCTCCAGATCACCCCCTCTATCATCCCCATTCTTTCACTAATCTTCAGTCTCTCCCAGTCTCCACTGCCTACAAACATGCTCCTGTCTGGCCATCCTCAAAAACTCCCCATTTGATAATCTATTCCTGAGAGTTATTAGCCTCTATTTCTCTTCCCTTTGGTGTCCACACTCCTTGAGGTAGCCCATAATCTGTCCCTCTATTTCCTTTCCTCTCTCTTCTTAACCTCTTATAATCTGGTTTCTGATCTCATCATGCCACTGAACCTGCTCTCTCCAAAGTTACCAATGATCTCTTAATTGCCAAATCTAATAGTGTCTCGATGCTCATCTGTCTTGACCTCTCTGTAGCCTCTGATACTATTGATCACCTTCTTCTTCTTGATACTCTCTAGGTTTTGGGGGCACCACTATCTTCGGGTTCTCCTTCTACTTGTCTGACTGCTCCTTCTTTGCCTTTTCCACCAGGATCTTCATCCAGGTGATACCTGCTAACCATGGATGTCCTCCAGAGCTCTGTCCAGGGTCCTTTTCTCTTTCTATATTTCACTTAGTGATCTCATCACCTCCCATGGGTTCAATGATCATCTCCATGCAGATGACTTTTGGATGTTTATCCAGCACTAACATCTCTCTTCTGATCTCTAATTTCCCAACTGTCTATTAGACATTTCAAACTGCATGTCCTATAGACATCTTAAACTGAACATGTCCAAAACTGGATTCATTCTCTTTCCCAAATCTTCCCTTTTACTGTTGAGGACATCATCCTCTTTCCAGTCACCCAGACTCACCCCTTAGGTATCATCTTCATCTCCTCACTCTCTCTCAAACTCCCCCTCCCTACCCTGCCCATATCCAATCTGTTGCCAAGACTGGGTGATTTCACTTTTGTAACATCTTTGGTAAACCCCCTTCACTCCTCTGACATTGCCACCATTTTGGTGCAGGCTGCCATGCCCCCATGGACGGCCCATTGCCATAGCCTGCTCTGTCTCAAGATTTTGTCCAGGCCAGTCCTTCTTCTACTCAGCTGTCAAATTGATATTTGTAAGGTGTAGGTCAGATTATGTCATCTACCCACTCAATAAACTCCAGTGACTCCCTGTTATCTCTATGATCAAATAAAAAATCTTTGGTCTGATTTTTAAAGCTCCTCCTAACCTGGCCCTTTTCTGTCTTTCCAGTCTTTTTTCACCTTCCCTTACATGTACTCTTTGATCCAGTGATGCTGGCCTGCTGGCTATTCCAAGAACAAGACTTCCTATCTCTCCACTGTTTCCCATGCTGGAACACTCTCCCTCTTCCACTCCTACCACTGACCTCCCTGGCTTCCTTTAAGTCTCAACTAAGATCCTATCTCCTACAGGAAGCCTTCTATAGCCCCTCTTAATTCCAGTGCCTTTCCTCTGTTAATTATTTCCTATTTATCCTGTATATAGCATGCTTTGTATATATTTGTTTGCATGTTATTTCCCCCATTAGATTGTAAGCTCCTTGAGGGTGGGAACTGTCTTTTGCCTTTTTGTATCCTCAGTGCTTAGCATAGTGCCTGGCACACAGTAGTTGCTTAATAAGTGTTTATTGATTAATTGTCAGAAAGGATAAGACTTGATAATACACTGGGTATGTGGGCTAAGTTTGAGTCAGGAATTGAGCATGGCACTGACAGTGTGGAACCTGGGTAACTTAGATGATAACAGTGCCCTTGGCGTGCCTTTCCTGGTTGGGAACAGGGGAGATTTTGTGGGGGTGGGGGGTGAGAGGAAGATAATGAGTTGTGTTGAGCTTGAGACATCTACAGAACACCTAATTTGGTCTGCCCAAAAGTCAGTGGATGATGTGTGACTTGTACTCAGGACAGAAACTAGAGCTGGGGAAATTATCACTATAGAAATGATCATTGAACCCAATGACACTATAGAGGTAGCCCATGGTGGTGGAAGGAACATTGGATTTGAAATTGGAGATCTGGGTTTCAGTCCTTGCTCCGTCGATTACTACCTATCTGATTCGTGGCAGTCATTTCTTTTTTTTCTGGGCCTCAGTTTCCACATCTGCCAAACAATTATATTGCATTCATTTGGACTAAGATTCATTCTAGTTCTAAATCCTATGGAAGCCTTAGCCTACAGTTATACAATATTGCCAACTGATAAAATAGATCACATTTTATTTCTTCAGGTCTTTAGTTATAAAGGAATCAGAACAAGGAAAAATATTCCTAAATATAAATCATAATAGCATGGATGGTTTCTCTGGCTCCTAGGAAACAAGCGAACTGTGAAGAGCTCAAGGGACCCTCTAATCTTGGGTGATCTCAAGTGGTCTTTCCCTCAAAAGTATTTAAACTTGTGTGTTCAGATTAAGAGATATTGTTGTCAAAAGCTGGGAGAATGGGGCCTTTTTTAGAGGCTAAGGTAGCTCAAAGCTTTGGAGGAAAGAAAGCATTGAAAAGGATTATTCAAAGTCCCATGAGATGCATTGATGTTACTGTGCTTGGATAGGGCCAACAGCTTTCAGACTGTTACCACAGAAAGGAATGTCAACCCTGAGCAGCAAAACAAGACCAATTAACAACCCATTTACTGGGCAAATGAACATCCATCATGTTACCCTTAGGACAGCAATCTTGGAGATGCAGAAGGAGGCAGTGTGTCGAGGCCTCAGGAAGAGGACCAGCCTTCTCCACGATGGCAGCTGATTTTTCCCTCCTTGGCATTCTGCCGAGGTGAGAACTCCTAGGGCAGTGCAAGGATAGGGCCGAATCGGTCCAGGACGCCACGGGACTATGTCATTCAGTTCTAAATGGTTCCGTGAGCCCCTGTAAAGAAATACAAGTAACTCCCATTCAGCAAAGGTGTCGGCCCTGTGGGCTTGCTTTGAATGAGTGAAAGGGCTGCTGAGGTGGCACATCTTTTACTTATGTGTGGCTCTGATTCTGGGCAGATTATTCTGGCCTTATTAGCCCCGACTGTATTTCACTTTACTCCTTATTGTTCTATCATCTCCTTGACAACCTCATCAACTGCCTGAGCTCCTTCTCTTCTCCCTCGCTAAGCCTGCAGCCATCATCAACTCTGGCACTGTTCTTGGATAGAATGTGCCAACCTAGTCTCCTATGGTGCCAATCATCACCCCTGAAACCTTCAGGACCAAAACCCTCCCACTTGGCCACCACTCCCCCATGTGTGCTGTCTCCCCTTCAGGAATGTAAGTTCCTTGAGGGCACAGCCTGTCTTTGCTTTTGCATCCTTAGTAAGTGCTTAATAAATGCTTTTTCCTTCACTTATTCATCCACTTTGGGAGCCCTCACCATGACGGCCGTAGGAACCAAGTCATTCCCCATATCATTTTTTCTCTTCTCCTAAGAGCCTAAAGGTGAAAGCAAGAGTCTGTCTCGGCTCATTTCTCCTGTGAGGTTTGGAAGGGATAGATTTACCTGGTCGTAGTCTTCTACATATTTGTATTTTTTCTCTCGGTAGTAAAACCTCTTTTTCATCAAATACAGGACTATAATATCACACAGGACTGTGGCCTGAATTGACGACAAAGAAATAACAGAAGGTCAGAGTGACTTTGACCCTCTCATTTAATGCTGCTTGGATTATTCACTCCCCTCCCTCCATGTTAATAATGGCTAGCAAATAGTACTCTAAGGTGTGGAGCATGGGGTCGATTATCCCAGTGGATCATACAATCTTGGGAAGTAGGTGCTATTGTTATCAGTCCTGTTTGTTGTTGTTGTTCAGTCATGCCCATCTCTCCGTGACCCCATTTGGGGTTTCCTTGGCAAAGCTACTCTAGTGGTTTGCCATTTTCTTCTGCAATTATTTCCATTCTGCAGATGAGGAAACAGGTTGCGAGAAGGGAGATGATTTGCTCTGGGTTACACAGCTAGGTCGTGCAGTGGATAGAATGACAGACCTGGAGGCAAGAAGATCTGAGTTCAAATCTAACTTCAGACACTGACTAGCTATGTGATCCTGGGCAAGTCACTTCACCCTGTTTGCCTCAGTTTCCTCATCTGTCAAGTAAGTTGCAGAAGGAAATGGCAAACCATTCCAGTATCTCTGCCAAGAAAACCCCAAATGGGGTTGTGAAGAGTTGGGCATAACTGAAATGACCCAACAACAATAACAACAACACAGTTGAGAGTGTGCAAGGCAGGAGTTACACTTAGATCTTCCAGACTCCAAGCCCAGATCCCCACCCATCTACAATGGAGCCCCCCGGATGCTTATGGTTCCTAAAATCTCACATTAAAAGAACAGATCAGAGAATTAGTTATGGGATCCAATAGACAAAGAGGGTCTCACGAGGCCACCACGTCCTGCCCACAATGTCCTTAACAAATGATCGTCCACCCTCTGCTTGGGGACCTGCTGGGATCATTCTGCTTTGGGACGGTTCCCAACCTGATGACCGCACCTCTGGGAAGTAGACCAGGTGTTAACTCTGCCCAGCTTGGCCGCAGGGAAGGAGGAGAAGTAAACGTGGGGGAAGAGTGAGTGAAGAGCCATGGGGTCAGTCCCTTATGTCCAAAGGGGCTCAGTGATTACACTGTGATTTACCTCTCTGGCATACCCATGTCCCCGCCTCCAACTGTGGTTAGAATAGAAGAAAGACAGGCTTCTTACCACTCCAAGCAGCGCCAATCCAGAGCCAATGTTTATCATGGTAGGGATGATGTTGAATTTCCCAGCCTGACAAATGAGAAACATTTGAGATCAGCCAAGAGGGGAAGAGGAAAGGGCAGGATGAGTGTCTCTTCCAGCCTCTCAGAAGGTTTAGTTGGCCGGTGCTTGGCTTAAGACCAGCTGAGACAGGAGAGAGATGGGGACGCTACCTTTCCAAAGATGATGACGTCAAAACGGATGCCGTAGGCCTTGATGAGCGTCCGGACCTCGGTGCCATTTGCATCCTTATAGTATTTGGCAAACCTGGGGAGGAAACACGCATCTTTCAGCACAGCCCCATAGATACTAGAAGAATTGACCCCTGAGCTCTTCACTAACTCTGGGGCTCCTCAACGCGCTCATGCCGATTAGCAGGTTAATAGCAGCAGCGAGCGCCATTTAATCGGCTTGAAAAAGACATAGCATCATGCAGCAAAGAGCCAGTGCCTTGCATGTACGAGGCGAATGAGAGGGACTGGATGAACGTATCAGAGTTGAGTCCATTCTCTGGTGGTTAAGAGCATTTTCCTTCTTGTTCAGTCATTTCAGTTGTGTCCAACTCTCCGTGACCCCATTGGGGGTTTTCTTGGCAAAGATACTGGAGCGGTTTGCCACTTCCTTTTCCAGCTCATTTTACAGATGAGGAAACTGAGGCAAACAGGGTTAAGTGACTTGCCCGGGGTCACATGGCTAGTAAAAGTCTGAGGCCTGATTTGAACTCAGGAAGATGAGTCTTCCTGATTCTAGGCCCTGCGATCTATGTACTATGTCAACACCTAGCTGCCCATCTTCTTTCTTTTTTTTTTTTTTTTGGCTAGGCAATGGGGTTAAGTGACTTGCCTAAGGTCACACAGCTACAAAGTGTTATGTGTCTGAGGCCAGATTTGAACTCAGGTCCTCCTGAATCCAGGGCCGGTGCTCTATCCACTGTGCCACCTAACTGCCCCCCCCATCTTCTTTCTAAATCTGCCTAACAGACCATGACAAACCCGTCCTCACAAGGGTGGAAGGGGCAATACTTGGGCATCATAAAGTTCCTTCCTCTGTTCTCATCATGGTCTATACCAATTCAAACCAATTCAATTTATTAAGTACCTACTGTGTGCATGGCCCTGTTTCAACTCTGGCTATGCTATTTATTTCCCATTGAATGTTATTTCTATATTAAGACCATCTGACCACTTAAAAATTAAAAACATTTTTTAAAAGGATGTATCAACTAGATAGTTTTGTGGAATCTTGAGTGAGCAGCCGAAAGCTACCACACTCCTCTGTGCTTGTACAGAATGACCTTTTCAAGAAGCCAACACCACAAGGGGGCAGCCAAGTGGTGCAGTGCACAGAGCAACAGCCCTGAAGTCAGGAGGACCTGAGTTCAAATCCAGCCTCAGATACTTACTAGCTGTGTGACCCTGGGCAAGTCACTTAACCCCAACTGCCTTAAAAAAAAAAAAAGAAGCCAACACCACTTCATGGCCTTCATTTTCTAGAAAGAAAAAGGGGAAGGGGCAAAGCCATTCACCGAGGGCTAATGGATCCACCAGAAGCATCAGGTGACCCAACTATGAAACGTCCTACCTGCCTCCACTTAGCTCGTGGAGCTCTGAGGCCATCGCTGCCTTCACTGTGCTCCAGTGCTCAGCTTGGTGCCTGCACTCAGGAAGCATTTCCTGCACAGCCACAGACTGAGCTGGTGGGCAACTGCTCAGTGATTCTGAAAATCGGGAGCAAGTATGGACAGTCCACACGAAGCCAGCCCCTCTGCTGGGACACGTGCATGGCTTTTCTCCCTCTACGGACATAGTATCACCTCTGCATTCCAAAGACAGAACTGGTTGGTGGGCATCATTGTAAAAGAGAATTTTTTTCCATTGGATGCTTCTCCGGGGGCCCTGGTGTCCAAGCTGATGATTCACCACAAGGGGGAGGCCGCACAGCACAGAATGCTGCTCCGAACGCCTGGAGACATTTTCTTTCTTTCTTTCTTTCTTTCTTTCTTAAATTAATTTATTTTGGTTTATCAACAGTCATGTCCATAAGCTTTTGAGTTTTAAATTTTTCTCCCCCTCCCTCCCCTCCTTCCTCCCCAAGACGGCGCGCAATCTGATATAGGCTATATACATAAATTCCTATTAAACATATTTTCACATTAGTGGTGTTGTAAGGAAGAATTAGAACCAATAGGAGGAACCACCAGAAAGAGGAAACAAAATGAAACAGAAGAAACAAAATAGCAAATAGTATGCTTCGATCTGCATTCACACTCCAGGAGACATTTTCTAGCAGGGCCTCTGATACAGTTTGCATGCGAAAAGGGGAGCTGGCTGGCGGAGCTTGCAGAAAAACCAAACCAACAAAAACTTACATGGCCCCACATTGTGCTGTTTCAGAAAGGGAGGGGAAAACAAAAATACCTAGCTCTATTATTGCTTTACCAAAAATGTTAGCATTAGTGAGATAACTAGTAGGACCCCCTTACTGTTAGCTGTTAGCCCCTGCGACCATCTAGCCATGGATTCTTAACCTGGGGTCTACTGATTAGTTTTTATAAAATGCTGATAACTGCATTTCCTAATTGTTTTTCCTCAATAATTCTGTGTCATATACGTGCATTTAAAATCATGATTCTGAGCAAGAGTCCATAGGCTTCCCCCAACTGTCTGCCCAAGGGGTCCAGGACCCAGAAAAGGGGATGAACCTTCAGTCCATCTCCTGCATTCTACTGAGGCAGAAATGAGGCTCCCAAAGATGGAGTGACTTGTCCTTACGGCACAGCTGAGATTCGAACCTCTTGTCTTCTGACTGCCTCTCAGCCTACTAATCTCCTACAAACGCCTGCACCAAACCCAGCCTCAATTTAGCTATAACAGCTTTTGGTTTCAAGAGGTTGGACCTGCACGATGCTGTGTCTGGCCCGGTTCTCCAAGGGCACAGACATTCGAAATGGATAGTATTTCTTAATCCCGGCTGATCAGTAATGTTTGTCCTCTCCCCAAACCCCACCCCCCCAAACATCCAAGCAATAAGTAATGTGTCCTACGAACCCTCCCACCTGAAGTTATAGCCAGGGGAGACAGTGTGGTCAGAGTCCTGGTTGTCAAGGCGGCGAAAGGAATACTTTGGTACGCAGTGAGAGGCGGATCGGTCCAGGTTGCAGTCCCAGTTGATCTGAATGCCCATGATGCCTCCCTGCATGTTCCAAAGCAAGAAAGCATTAGAGGTCAGAGTAAAGCTCAGAAAGGGGCTAATATATTGAAGCCGCCTGATCACTTAAAAAAAAAATCAATCCTTTTTTTTTTTTTTTTTTTAAAGGCAGCAGCGACTAAAGAGGCATATGGAACTTTCGGTCAGCAGTAGCTGACTAGCTAGTGAGTGGCTATCACCAAGAAGGTCTTCACCGTGGAGTCATGCTGGAAGTTCCCTTCCAGGGAAGAGCTGGGGCAGAACAAAAAGCCTCCACTTACCTCCACGGCCACGTGCTGGAAGCTGTGTCCTGCACTTTCCACTATTTGGCCAAGACGGAATATGGGGCAGAACGGGTTTGTCTTGGCATCATAGATGCATGACTTGAGGTAGGTGGCATTGGTGTTGGGAAGGATATTCCTCCTGAAGCAAAGAGGGGGCAAAAGGGAGATTGGAGGTAAGGAAGGGGGAGGGAGAAATGGTTCATGGACAGCATTCCTGCAAGACACTAGGCAAGCTACATGCTCTTCCTAATGATGGCCTTCAAGAATTCATGACCTCATCTCTCTCCGTCTGTGCCAGTGGGCGACTCGCCTGTCTTAGGAGGCGGTTCTAAGAGACGCTTTGCCTCCCCGCCCCCCAAATCATCCCTGGTGGCAAACCCCATGGTGACGAGCCTCCTCTGAATTTAGAGGCCCAGCCTGGCCAACTATGGGCAAGGTCTACCTTGGACCTTTCCAGTTTGAGAGGACCAGCCAGGACACCTACATGACTGATCCAAGCTCTTAGGCATCGGATGATCTTAGTGACGCCCCAACACTTACTTGGTGAAATTAAACTTGGGATACCAGATGTGGTTCTTAATCAAGAGGGTGAAGTTCTCTGCGGCCCTCAGAAAGGCGGGTCTGAAATCACACACACACACACACACACAAACGTCAACAGGATCAATCACAGCTTCAAGTCTGTTGGTCTTTCCTTTCCTTCCCTCAAATAGGAAAAGACCCACTGCCTCCAACTGCACAGAGTAGGACCCTAAAAATTGGGGAGAAGTGGGGTTTTCAATCCAATGTAGAGGTTTCCTAGCTTATGAGCATGGGACAGCTAGGTGGTGCAGTGGATAGAGCACTGGGCTTGGAATCAGAAGACTCATCTTCATGAGCTGAAATCCAGCCTTGGACACTTACTAGCTGTGTGACCCTGGGCAAGTCATTTCACCCTGCTTGCCTCAGTTTCCTCATCTGTATAATGAGCTGGAGAAGGAAATGGCAAACCACTCCAGTATCTTTGCCAAGAAAACCCCAAACGGGGTCAGGAAGAGTCGGGCATAATGGAAATGACTAAACACCAAGCGTATGAGCTCTAGGGCAGGGCACAGTCCATTATAGCAGCTTCTGGGGAGAGAGGGAACAAACAAGCCTGAGTACTGGCTGATGTGGGGCCATTCATTGTACATTTGTGCCAATACATATAGTTGACCCTTGGGGCTTCATAGTGTGCATACATCCCCAGACAGCTTAGTGGTTGTGGTCACAGATCTGGTTTTACAAGTTAAACCAAAGTTAAGTCTGCCTGAACACTGATACCCTTTTCTGATGGGCACCCAGTAGGCATGACTCTCCTGGCACTGTCTGTTGCCATCAAAGAGTGCCCCATCACTTCTTGGTTGCTTTCCGTTTACCAAGGCTGAAGCTATCCTGAGAGGGCCCTGTTTTTTCCTTTTTTTTTTTTTTTTTAAATTTTAGAATTTTTGTTTTCAGTTCAAAATCCTCTCCCTCCCTTTACTTTACCCCCTCCCTCACCTTCTGCGAAGGCAAGAAATATGATACCAATTATACTTATGAAGTCATGCAAAACATTTCCACATTGTCCATGCTGAGAGAAAAAAGGAAGAAAAATAAAGAAGGTGAAAAACAATATGCTTCAATCTGCACTCAGAGCTCATCAGTTCTCTCTCTGGCAATGAATAGCATTTTCCATCATGAGTCCTTTGGAATTGTCTTGGATCATTGTATTGATCAGGCTAGCTAATCTAACACAGTTTACTATTGTTATAATATTGTTGTCATCATGTACAATGTTCTCCTGGTTCTGCTCACTTCACTTTGCATCAGTTCACATAAATCTTTTCAGGTTTTTCTGAAACCATGCCCTTTGTCATTTCTCACAGCACAATAGTATTCTATCACAATCATATATCACAACTTGTCCAGCCATTGATGGGCATGCCCTCAATTTCCAATAGGCCTTGTGTCTTTGATGCACTTCTGTAAGGGCAGTCCAGTCTATGGGCTCTGCTTGACAATGCCTGGCCCCAATCTAAGCGATATGAAGTGAGACCAGTCACTTATTTAGCACCTACTGTATGCAAAGTGCTGGGGTAGGAGCTTGGAGAGACACAAAATCAGATGAGATGGAGTTCTTGCCCCAGTGCTTAGCACAGTGTTGGGCATATAGCAGGTGCTTAACTAATGCTTGTTGACTTGGTAGTCTTGGGAGTAAAGGCTGGGACATTTATGAGAGATGTTGTTAAGACAGAAATGACAAGATATGATAATGGATTTGATGTGCGTGAGCCTGAGTGGCTGGAAGGCTGGTGGTGCCCTCAACCATTAGAGGGAGGCTGGGAAGAGAGGGGATGTTGGTGGGGGAGGGGTGGAGAGCTAGTAAGTCCAGTTCAAGCACAATTAAAAAGGCTATCAGAGGATTAGGGAGTAGATCCTGAATGGGGACATTCAAAAAGGAAAAGAAGAAGAGATAAAGGAAGAAAAGATCAATGGAATAATGAAAGTATAAAACAAATTGATGGAGTGGGTTGGTGGGTAGGGCAAACTGATGATTGGTAGGGGCTGAAGAGCAGGTACCTTTGACTATGAAACTGGAGAGACTAAGAAAAGGAAATGAGGGGCAGCCAGGTGGCACAGTGGATAGAGCACTGGCCCTGGATTCAGGAGGACCTGAGTTCAAATCTGGCCTCAGACACATAACACTTGCTAGCTGTGTGACCCTGGGCAAGTCACTTAATCCGATTGCCTAGACAAAATAAAAGGAAATGAATGGGGTTATCAAATTATTAAGAAGTGACAAGAGGCATAAACATTCAGAAAGGAGATAAAAATAAACAAAAAAAAAATGCTGAAAATCTCAACCATTCAATCAATAAACATTTATTAGGCACCTACTATGTGCCAGGCATTGTGCTAAGGGTTGGAGATACAAAAAGAAACAAAAGACAGTCCCTGCCCTCAAGGAGCTTACAGTCTAATGGGGGAGATAACACAGACAAATAAATATAAAACAAACTATATACAGGATAGATAGGAAATAATTAAAAGACACAAGGCACTGGAATTAAGGGGGGGGGGTGTTGGCAAAGGTTTCACATAGAAGGTGGCATTTTAGTAGGGAATGAAAGGAAGCCAGGGAGGTCAGTGCTCAGAGCAGAATGGGGAGAGCATTCCAGGCATGGGAGATGGCCAGATAGAATGGCCAGAGCTGAGAGATGGAGTGTCTTTTTTTGTAAAACAGCCAGGAAGCCAGTGTCACTGGATCAAAGAGTACTCTTTAGGAAGGAAGGTGGAAGAAGACTGGAAAGGTAGGTTAAGAAGGGTGTCCAAAGTCAAACACAGCATTTTATATTTCATCCTGGAGACAACAGGGAGCCACTGGAGTTTATTGGGGAGGGAGGGGTGATGTCGTCAGGCCTGCACTTTCAGAAAACCACTATAAAGCAGAGAGTGGACCAGAGCGGAGAGTTGAGGCAGGCAGAGGTCAATCCAGGTGCTAAATACCGAAGGTCTGCACCAGGGTCGGGGTGGCAGTGTCAGAGGAGAGAAGGGGGTGTGTTTGAGAGATGTTGCAAAGGAGCCATCGACGGGCCCTGGCAACAGCATGGACATGAGGAGGTAATGGACAGTGATGAGTCCCGGATGAGTCCTAGGTTGGGAGCCTAGGGGACAGGAGGATGGTGCTGCCCCTTACCAATACAGAACAGGAAAACTGTGCAGTGACTTGCTTCCAGATGTGTGCCTCCAGATTTCAACACCACAGACCAGTGACTGTTCTCTAACTGGAGGCTGATCTCTGTCCTAGAGGAGAAGGGGAAGGGACTCACTGAGCAGACTGGCTCTTCACGTTCCAGGCTGTGAGAGAGAAAGAAGCATTCTCATGGGAAACAGAAGGGAGGCTTCAATGGGGAAAAATGGGATCCGAGGTGGAAGAGAGGAGACATCCCCCTTCCCCACCTTCATCAGGATGTGGACGAGTAGAAAAATATAACCCAGAGAAGAAAGGGAAGGGAAAGGAAAGGAGGAAAACCAGAGCTTAAAGACAGGCTTGGGGCTCTGGAAGGAAGGAGGACAGCAGCTGGTGGCTGTAGGAGCTAGCGGGTGAGAGAGCCGCCAGAGGAAGGGGAGAAGGGCTGGGGTTGCTGATTCTCTGCTCCCTTTGCTGATCTGATTGAGAACTGCAGTGGTCTGCTGTCTTCCTGGGCACGCAACCAAGCCTAACGAGAGCCTCCTAAGACCCAAAAGGATGCCACCCACGGAATACAGCCACTCATTTCTGGTGATTCCCATGGATACTAACGACACTGCCAGAGGGAAGCTGGAAAGCATTGCGAAAGATTAGGAAGTCTAGGGCAAGAAAGGGAAGATCCCCCCCGGGCACGGGTGGTGTTCTCCCTCACTGTTGCCCCTTGGAAGCAAAGGGGTGTAGAAGAGAAAAAATAATTTGGGAAGTAATCTGGATTCCTGGACCACAGTTTAAAACACAGGGGTGACGATTCCTAGCTCAAAAAAGAGTACATCTGTCATAAGCATCTAAGAATGGATTTGCAAATTGCATCACATGGGGGAGGGAGAAGAATTCCCCTGTGTATCCCCATGAATAGATACCACAGATAAGAGTTACAATGAAGGAAAAAGAACAGCTCAAAGAGCCAGAAGTTGCCAGTAGATTTATTAAGCACCTACTGTATACTAGGCATTGTGCTAAGCATTAAGGATACAAAGAAAGGCAAAAGACAGTCCCTGCCCTCAAGGAGCTCACAGTCTAATGGGAGAGACACATTGTACAAACAGCTACAGACAGGATAAACTGGAGATAATTAACAGAGGGAAGGAGGTCTGGGGAAAGCTTCATGTAGAAGCATGTGTGTGCATGGGGAGAGGTTATCTGAGACCTGAAGAAATCCAGGGAATCCAGGAGGTAGGGATGAGGAGGGAGAGCATTCCAGGCATGGGAGACAGCCAGGGAAAAAGCTTGGAGTCAGGAGATGGAGAGTCATATCACTGGATCGAAAGGTACGTTGCAGAGGCAGGGAATGGTGTAAGGTTCATGGAAAAGCTATGTAGGATCCCAAAATGCCATAGGGAAAATTGGTCCTGGAGGGATGGGAGAATGCTCAAAAATGCAATTCAGAAGACCCAAAGGAAAGCAATTTCAGTGAAGAGAAAAAATGGGATGTCTTGAGAGAATGATGTAGGTACATGGGGGACTCACCAACCAACTCTTGAAAGGCACACACAGAAGATTTAAAAAAAAAATTTTTTTTTTTTTGGTTTGTCCTTCATTCTCAAGGAGGACCATGACATCAGGAAGGTGATGCCATGACTTGCAAGTGAATTGGTTTTAAGTGAGGGAGGGCTGGGCAAGGTCACTGGCCTCACTTTCTCTTCCCTAGTCATTTGGGTCCAGTGGCCTGATATAGATCAGGACGACTAGAGATGGCCAGCTCACAGGATGGAAGTAAGGCCTGGTCACAGGATGACAGTAAGAGCCTGTAAAAACAATGTCAGGCTACACATACGTGACCTATGTGAAATCGCTCGCTTTCTCAATGATGGGGGAGGGTGGGAGGGAGAGAATTTGGAACTCAAAATCTGAAAAAGGAATATTAAAGCTGTTTTTACATGTAATTGGGAAAAATAAAATAAAATAAAAAAAGGGAGAGTTAAAAAAAAAAACAAACAAAAACCGAAAAACAAAAATCAGCGTCAGGAATGCTAAAATCCTGAATGAGCTGAGGTGGGGGAGGGAAGCTCAGGACAACAAGAGAGTTTTAAAAAGACTCCACTGGGAGAAAAAGGAGGATCCAAGAAGGTCTAGGACCATGGTTTGGCCTGTGTGGGGCAGTAACGGAAGAGGAACGTCTACTTTGCTTCTGCTTTCTCTGCTGGAGAGAAAGACCTCTGCACAGGAAGTAACAGGACAGGACTGAGTCAGAGAGAGCTAGTCCCCATGACGGACGATGAGAGAGTAAGAACGCACCGACCTCCCACGATGAATTCAAGGGACTGAAGGTGGATGAACCGTATCCTCGGATGCTGGGAGAACTGGCCCATGGGATTGCTGAGTCACTGTCAGGGATGCTCGAATGGTCATGGCAAGGGGGAGGGGCAAAATGTCCCAGTTTTCCAAAAGGGGGAAAGAGTAGAGTCCGTCAACTAGAGGTCAGTGAATTTGACTTTTATTCATAAGGCAATTCTAGAACAGATCGTTAAAGAGCTTATTGAATGTGGAGAAGGAAAAGTGGCGGTTACTAAGGGCGAGTATGGCATCATCAAAGACAGAATGTGTTAGACTAATCTCACTTCCTTTTTCAAAAGGATTACCAAACTAGCTGGTAAGAAGAATGCTGTGTATAGGGCTTGTCTTGATTTTGGCAAAATTTTTGGTAAAAGTACTTACCTCACACTCTTCAGATGAAGATATTTGTATTTATTAGCTCGATTTAGAGCTGGTTAAAAGTTGCAGTCAAACAATAATTGTTAATGGTTCAATATGAATGTTCTAGGAAGTCTCTAAGGGAGTGCCCCAGAGATCTGTCTTTGTCCCTGTGCTGCTTAATATTTTTATCCGTGATTTGGATAAAGGCAAAGATAGTTTGCTCATCAATTTTGCAGGTGACAAGAGGGGAGACAGCGCCAACACCATGGATGATAGAGTTGGGGTCCGAAAAGATCTTGATGGGTTAAGAGTTGAATCTCATGCAATTTGGAACTATGCCCAAAGGGCTATAAAACTGCATACCCTTTGACCAGCATTACCACTTTTAGGTCTGTATCCCAAAGAGATCATAAAAATGGGGAAAGGACCCACACATACAAAAATATTTATAGCACCTCTTTTTATGGTGGCCAGGAATTGGAAACTGAGGGGATGCCCATCAATTGGGAAATGGCTGAACAAGTTGTGGTATATAAATATAATGGTATATAAATATAATGGAATACTATTATGCTATAAGAAATGATGATCAGGCAGACTTCAGAAAAACATGGAAAGACTTACATGAACTGATGCAGAGTGAAATGAGCAGAACCAGGAGAACATTATACAGAGTAACAGTAACATTGTGTGATGACTAAACTTTGATAGACTTAGCTCTTCTCAGCAATGCAAGGATCTAAGACAATTCCAAAAGACTCACGATGCTATCCACATCCAGAGAAAGAACTACGGAGTCTGAATGCAGATTGAAGCAGACTATTTGCTCTTTTTTTTGTTTCTTCTTTCTTGTGGTTTTTCCCTTTGGTTCTAATTCTTCTTTACAACATGACTAATGTGGAAGTATATTTAATATGGATGTATATGTATAGCCTATATCAGATTGTGTGCCATCTTGGGGAGGGGGGAGGAGAAAGAGGGGGAGAAAATTTAGAACTCAAAATCTTACAGAAGTGAATGCTGAAAACCAAAAAATAAATTTATATATATGTGTGTGTGTATATATATAAAATAAAATTATGAAATTCCAAACAAAGAAACAACAAAAAAAGAATTGAATCTCATAAGATAAAATTCAGTAGGGATAAATAAAAAGACAGGTGCCTGGGTATAAAAAATGAGTGAGACACGGTTGGACAGCAATTGTTCTGAAAAAAGATCTAAGAGTTTTAGTGGATTAAAGACTAAGAGGGCAGCAAGCCTATCACCTATCCTGTTCTGAACACAGTACTTTTATTAAATGCCCCCAAGAGCTCATTATGGGCAGCTACATGGTACAGTGGATAGAGCGCCAGGCCTGGAGTCAGGAAGACCTGAGTTCAAACCCAGCCTCAGACACTTATTAGCTGTGTGAACCTAGGCAAGTCACTTCACCCTGTATGCCTCAGTTTCCTCATCCGTAAAATGAGCTGGAGAAGGAAATAGCAAACCACTCCAGTATCTCTGCCGAGAAAACCCCAAAAGGGATCACAAAGAGTCAGACACAACTGAGAACAACTGAACAATAACAAAGAGCTCATTAGCTTTTTTTTTTTTTTGAGCTACCATATAACTCTTTTGACTCTTACTGGGCTTACTGTTCACTAAAAACTCCAACCATTTACCTTGGGAATTATTTTTTTTGTCCAGCCACAACTCCTCCCTCCTGAATGGTTATTTGTTTTCTTGTTTTTTGCATTTGAATGGATAATTTTATACTTCCCTTTCATCTGTAAAATGAGCAGATGGGACCAAAGATCTAAAGCTTCTCCCAGCTCAAAACCCTCTAGGATCTCTCATCTGACATTTTTTGTTCCCTATCCCTAACTGCTGCCTTAGCAACCTTTAGGAAACATTTAGGACACACCCAGCAAGGTAAATATTTGTTGAATGGGACTAAATGCCTCCCTTACAGGTTAGGGTTTAGGATCTCTGGCCCTTCCCTGGCCCGAGGTCTAGGCCAATCTGTCATGACTCACCGGGGCACGTAAGTGTCATTCTCCACTGGACACCAAGCAAGCACCTCACACGTCTTCACGTGAGCGTTATAGTGTACACATTTTCCAGTTGTCACTCCTGCAGCAGGACAAGGAGGAACAAGGAAACAAATCCCTTCCCCCAGTATCCCCCCATTCTGCACTAGCAGATCCGAGGGCACCTTAATCAACTTGAATCTTCCCTTGTTTACAAATCAAGCAACTTTAACCTGTAAAGATGTGGGCATTGTCACAAAGTTCAACTGCATAAGAGCATAAGATCAATGGCCTCACAAGAGACTTACTTATTTCTCAGGGCAAATAAATACCTTCTGGGGTATGGAAAAATTGCAGAGGATCAGAGATCTGGGCTATGAAGTGCTAGTCTTGGTATTAGACAGTCCTAGGGAATCCTGAAGAGTTCTATTCCCTTGAGTTTTTTCTATCAGAGAAGGGTGGGGTCATCCCTTCTCTGACAGAAAAAACTCAAGGCCACTCTTCCCACTACAGAAGGTTAAATGGAGAGGGGCTTGATTTTCCAAGTGTTAGTGACTGCTGTTCCAATCAAACACTTGGCTATTATCTGAGCCAACAAAGAAAACATGGACTTCGAACCTGCTGGCATTCTCTAGCCAGGAATCATACATTAAGACCATCAAATAGATTCTATGAAGTGTACCATGGGAGATAAGCTCATACCACTGAGGTGGACATCAATGGAGCCAAAAGTACAGTTATCGTCTGATGTACACACAGTTTTAGCACCTGGAAGCTGGAGAAGACAAAAGTGAGCAAAAATAAGCCCCTATGTGGGTTTATTTTCAAAACCACAGCCAGTACCCACAACCTAGCACCCACAGTGCTCAAAAGAATGAGGAAGAAGGAAGACGATTGGCATCAGCAGTCTATTCAACGAGAATGCTTACCTACCTCAGCACAGGTGCTCTGTCTCTGATTCAAGGTAGCAATTATGTTGGTCATGACAAACAGCGTGTTCTCCTGCTATAGAATGGGAAGAGGAAAGACACGGACGTTGGTATACACCTATGGGCCACACATATAGACAGAAAAGCCAACCACCCATCCATTTAAGTACTATAGGCTACTCTTGAGCACCATATTGGAAAGCAACCAGGAAAAGTAAAGTCTTAGTAGTCTCTACAAGAAAGGTTGACCATTCAAAGTGGTTTCACAAAGGCACTTCTACTTTAGGAGGAGAAGTAAGGTGTTGTTTCTTTGTATAAGCCTTTACCCCTGGCACTCAGGTGCCTAGGCTCAGTGCCGATCAATCATCATGACCAGCATGGTAGAATGTAGAGAAATTTCTTCACAACCTATACGTTTCTTTGGACATTCTGCCTCAAACTTTGTCTCACTTTTTGGGTACATTTCATAGAACCTATTTAATATTCTTAGTACAAGATTCCTGGTTATAGAGTGACAGTGGGACCAAAGTCTGTGTTTTCTTTGTCAGATCGGATATTAGCCAAGCATTGGATCTTCTACCACAAGGCCTGAAAGCCTCTTCTTTTATCTTCTCATCCTTTCCTTCATCTCTTCATCCTATGAAATAGGGGTTTGAAATCCATTCTTCTCATTCACTTAAGCTACCAAGTATTTGCTAAATATCTGTATGTCTAGCATTGAGTTTTGCTTATCTCCCCCAGCCATCTGGCTGCCCCTTCGGTCTTTACGCTTTTTAAAAAAGCTTCTATTTAGTATTTTATTTTTCCACAGTTGCATGTAAAAACAATTTTTAACATTTGTTTTTAAAACTTTGGGTTCCAAATTCTCTCCCTTCCTCCCTCCCCACTCCACCCCTATTGAGAAGGCAAGCAATTCAATATAGGTTATACATATATAGTCATGCAAAACATATCCATAATAGTCATGTTGTGAAAGAAAACATAGGCAAAAAAAAACTCAAGAAAAATAAAAAAGTAAAATAAAAGTATGTTTCAATCTGTATTCAGACACCAACAGTTCTTTTTCTGGAGATGGATAGCATTTTTCATCCTAAGTCCTTCAGAGTTGTCTTACATCGTATTGCTGAGAACAGCTAAGTCATTACCAATTGGTCATCTGACAATATTGCTGTTGCTTTGTACATAGTACATTTCACTTTGCATCAGCCCATGCAAGTCTTTCCTGGTTGTTCTGAGAGCATCCTGCTTATCATTTCTTATAGTACAGTATTATTCCATCATAATCACATGCTACGACTCATCCAGGTATTCCCCAATTGATGGGCTTCCCCTCAACTTCTAATTCTTTACCCCCAGAAAAGAGCTGCTATAAAAATTTTTGTACATATAGATCCTTTTTCTTTTCTTATCTCTTTTGGGATACATACATAGTAGTGGTATTGCTGGGTCAAAGGGTTTTATAGCTATTTGGGCATAGTTCCAAATTGTTCCAGAGAACAGCTGAATCAATTCACAGGTCTCATTTTTGCCACCTCCCCTCCAACATTTGTCATTTACCTTTTCTGTCCTATTAGCCAATCTAATAGGTCTGAGGTAGTACTTCAGAATCGTTTTAATTAGCATTTCTCCAATCAGTAGTGAGTTAGAGTATTTTTCATATGGCTACAAATAGCTTTGATTACTTCATCTGAAAACTGATCATATCTTTTGATCATTTATCAGCTGGGGAGTGGCTGTTATCTTCATAAATTTGACTCAGTTCTCTATATGTTTGAGAAATGAGGCTTTTATCAGAGAAACTTGATTCAAAATTTTTTTTCACAGTTACTATTGCTAACTGTATTTCCCTCCATCCTATCTATAGCCCCCATTTATTCTATTCTCTCTCCTTTCACCCTGCCCCTCCTCAAAAGCATTTTGCTTCTGACTATCCCCTCCCCAATCTGTCCTTTCTTCTATCACACACACACCCTCTTCTCTTATCCCCTTCCCCTCCTACTTTCTTGCAGGGTAAGATAAATTTCTATACCCAATTGAGTGTGTATGTTACACTGTCTCTAAAAAAAGAAGAAAGGACCTTAATAAAAATAAATTTAATCAGAAGGAAATGATTAACAAGGTTAATTTTCATTATTTATTAACCATTTATATAACCACCATTTCAAGCTTTTCTGGAGTCAGGGACAGACACCATTGGTAGCTGTTCTCCTAGGGAGCTTCCACAGGGCAGGAGGTCATCCAGACCCCTCAATGTGAGGATGGCTCTGAAATTTGCCAAGCCTTAGCAATTTGGACAGGAGAAAATCCATCATGCCAGGGATTAGGGGAGGAACCAAATAGCTTCATTCAATCCTCTGACTGAATTTCATCTGGGGAGGTATTACTCAAATGACTGGGATCCCAGATCCCAACCCTTCTCACTTTTAAGAGTTTCTGTGGCCAAAAACATTAATCATCTGGTGTCTAACTAGGTGATAAGACTGCCAAGCCAGCAGACTAGTCCTCAGATAAAAGACATCTGATCAGGAGGGCCAGTAGCTTCCTGTTCCTAAGAAAGCGGATAGATTACGAATAAGCTTGAAGATGGGCAGATTTGCAAGACTCCAAGTTCTTTACTTTTGCATATTTTTCTTTGGGTAATTTTAAGTCTCCCATGAGATCTAAGCTATGTGTTGTCAACTTATTAACTTAAGAATTCCAGAATCTCAGAGTTCGAAGGGACAAAGTCTCTCATACAATCCTTGTGGAAGATATAGGAACAGGGGTTAAATGACTGTATAGTTAGGTAGATTCAAAAAAGCTGGACCCAAAGAGGAGTTAATTAAGGGGTGGTTGTTACCTTGGATGGATAGCTCTAGTAGAGAAACATGTGCTTGGCCTACGTAATTAATATTTTTTCAATGACCTGGAAGAGGACATGCATGGAATGTCTATCACACTGGCAGATGTCATAAGGCTGGGAGGGATGGCTAACACTTTGGTTGATCCAAAAAGTGTAAAAGGCACGTGCACTCTTTGGCCTGAAGAAATAATGACTCACAAGGGAAGGGTCATGGTTGTCAGATATTTGAAGGGCTGTCTTGTAGAAGAAGTTTTTGATGTGTTCTGCTCAGCTGGGGAGGATAAAACTAGGAATAATGGGTAGAAATTGCAGAGCTGGAAATTTTGACTTAATATGAGGAAAAAATTCTCAATAATTAAAGCTGCCCAGATTTAACTGGGTAACATTGATTGGTACTGACTTTCCCCTTACTAGAAGTCTTCAACAGGGGGCTGGATTTGATTTTGAGCACAAGCTGGACCAGATGTCCCCGAGATCCCTTCTAACTTAAGACTGTGTACCCTCAGAAAAGGCAGAACATGTCCTTCTTAGGATACAGGGTCAGAGTAGGATGCAGTACTCTCACTTCCCTGTTCTTTTTTCCCCTCTGAACTTAACATCAAATATAATGAGTATTTCCATACACAAGTATAAGGGGAAATAATTTTGCGTGAAACTATGGATCTCTATTGGGTACTTGCTTTTCTTTTAAATACATGATAAGCTTAACATGTAACTTCCTTTTTTTTTCTTTGTAAGAATACCCCATCTTTTTCTTTTTTTAAAATTAATTTATTTATTTTTAGTTTTCAACATTCACTTCCACAAGATTTTGAGTTCCAAATTTTCTCCCCATCTCGTCCCTCCCCCCACCCCAAGATGACATGCATTCTGAATACCCCTTTCCCTAATCTGCCCTCCCTTCTATCTCTCCTCTCCTTCTCTTATCCCCTCCCCCTTCAATTTTCCTGTAGGGCAGGATAGATTTCTATATCCCATTTCCTGTATATCTTATTTCCCAGTTGCATGTGAAAACATTTTTTTTAAACATTTGTTTTTTAAAACTTTGGGTTCCAAATTTTCTCCCTTCCTCCCTCCCCACCCACCCTCATTCAGAAGGCAAGTAACTCGACACAGGTTATGCATGTGTAGTCATGCAAAACACTTCCATAGTAGTCTCAACATGTAACTTCCAAAGCTGTCCTATTTGTTGGTGTTTCTTTCTGGCCTTCTATCTGTTTTCTTATGTGTATTTTTTTTTAAAAGATGTTTTAATGTCTTTTTTCTTTTACTTTTTGCTATTCTGTCCCTATCTTCTCTCTTCCTCTCATCTACTCCCATTAGGAAAAAAAGGAAAACAAAGCCTTTGTAACAAATACACAGAGTCAAGCAAAACAAATTTCTACACTGGCCATGTCTGAAAACGTCTCTCTTATTCTGTATCTTGGGTCTACCAGCTCAGGAGGTGGGTGGCACCATCAGTCCTAGGGAATCGTGATTGGTCATCGCATAGATCAGAATTCCTGAGTCTTTCAAATTTGTTTTCTATAATGTTTTTGGCATTGTACACATTGTTTTCCTGGCTTTCTTCCTCCACTCTTCATCCCTCCATGTGTCCCATCTTTCTCAGTCAGTTTCCTTCTCATCTCTAATTATTATCAAAGTTATTAGTCTAAAAATGTAATTCCTTGCTGATACCTAATATTATATTATATTGGGGCAGCTAGGTGGCACAATAGATAGAGCACTGGCCCTTGAATCAGGAAGATATGAATTCAAATCTAGCTTCAGATACTTACTAGCTGTGTGACCCCGGGCAAGTTACTTAACCTTGTTTACCTCAGTTCCTCATCTGTCAAACCAGCTAGAGGAGGAAATGGCAAACCGCTCCAGTATCTTTGCCAAGAAAACCCCCAATGGGGTCATGAAGAGCCAGACATGACTGAAATGTCTGGACAACAACAGTATTATACCAATTGAGGCGTAGAAGATTAGCTCTCTGTTGCTTCCACATAAACTCAAAGCACAAGAGTTTTCATGTTTCCTGGTGCCCGCCATCTTGATTTCTCATAATATGTCAGGTTTTAAGTGTTGTAGTTGTTACTGTTTAGCCCTTAAAGCTTTGTAGCTGAAGAATTGACAGTGAGGATTACCCTACCATCCAAGCAGACCTCCTGGCACAGACCCTAAATGACTATTCAGACATGCTGAGTAGGGGACAGATGGCCTGCTTTGGATCAGGAAGTCCTGTCTTCGACCCATATTCATTTGAACTCTCTGATTGCCGCAGGTTCTAAGTTACTGATTTAGGACAGAGGAAGGAGATCACCACATCAGGAATTCCCCGCCCACTAATAAAACCACATGCCCAGACCAAGAAAAAAACCTTTTGTCGACTAGGAACTTAGAACGGCCATGGTGTAATAACTATTAAATCACAGCTGCAGAGCAACATGTGAGGACCCAAAATGAGACATGAGTATGTGAAAGGGACAAAGTGTGAAACTTACCTGAGGTGGGATCACGTAATCTGCTACATCCCAGACCTGGAGCCCCAGTCCAGACGTATTGGTCAAGGCCACGCCTTTCACCTTTGTGGTAACAGAGCTGACAACTGAGTCTGTCTCTTGGTAGCCTTTTTCCCACACAAACACCCACCTGTAAAATAGAAAGTTGATGATATAGCAGCTTTTAACTGGGTCTTTGTACAATGGGGCTGGTGCTTTCTACACATTGTCACGTTGTTTAGATTTAGGGTTGGAAGGGACCATGGAGATCATTTGTCCAAATTCCCTCATTTTACAGATGAGAAAACAAAATGAGAAGGGAAGTGACATAATTAGAAGAGCTGTATTTTAATTCCAGGTCTTCTGACCAAAAATCCAGGTTTTTTCCTAGATAGATGAAGAAAGCATTTATATCCGTCAGGCCCCAGGGATATGAATGGGAGCAATGAAAACAGTTCTTGCCCTCAAGAAGCTTACATTCTAGTGGGGAGGGGGAGATGACATATAAAGGGGAGCTGGAAGGGGGGAAGCATTCTAGGGGATATGGGATGAAGATAGCTGGGAAGTGACTAGACAGGCCTAGTGCATGATAAAGTAAAAGCTCCCCTATCAGACTCTGGTGGCCCAGTGCAAGGTTATGGGAGGGAAAGAGGAAAGATGACTGTTTGTTCAGTCATTTCAGTCATGTTTAATTCTCTGTGACTCCATTTGGGGTTTTCTTGGCTGAGATACTGGATTGGTTTGTCATTTCCTTTTCCAGCTCATTTTATAGATGGGGAAATGGAGGCAAGCAGGGTTTAAGTGACTTGCCCAGGGTCATACAGCTAGTAATTGTCTGAGGCCAGATTTGAACTCAGGAAGATGAATCTTCCTGACTCTAGGTACTCAAGGCACCATGGAGCCGCCTAGCTGCCCCATGTTGGCTGCAGTACAGGTAATAAGGTGAGGAGTTGGCTCATTGCCTCTAGGTCACTTCTAATAGCCAGGTGCCAGAGGCCTTCCATTCCGCGGTCATTTAATGGTTATTTGGTTGAATGCCAATAATGCCTACTATGCTAGATCTGCAGAAATTACAAAAATGTATATGCTAATCCCTGGCCTCAAGGCATTTACATTCTAGCAGATTCTGGATTCCATATCTCCCTTTCACATGAAAACGCTTGTTTTCCTGGTCTGCTGGAGTAGTAGAAGAGGTAGAAGAAACTGAAACAGTTGAAGAATGCTCCTCTCCTCTGAGGCTGCCATCCCCCAGGCATAGACCCTCATCCCCTCACACCTGGACTTCAGCAGTAGCAGCTGGTGGGTCTGCGGGCCTCAGGTCTCTCCCCACACCAGTCCATCCTCCATTCAGCTGCTAAGTGATTTTCCTAAAGCACAGCCCCAAGCATGTCATTCCAGGCTCTCTATCATCCCTAGGATCAAATATAAACCCTCTGTTTGGCTTTTAAGGCCCTTTATAACCCATCCCAGGAGCAGCAGGTGGCACAATGGATACAATACTGAGCTTGGAGTCAGGAAGACCCGAGTTTAAATCTGATCCCAGATACTTAGCTCAAGTCACTAAAAAACCCCCTCAGATTCCTTAGCTGTAAAATGGGGATAACAATAGCATCTACCTCAAAGTATTGTTGGGAGGATCAAATGAGAAAATACTTGTAAAACGTGCTTAGCACAGTACTGGTACACAGTAGGCACCATATAAATGCTTATTGTTTTTCTTTTACTCCCCCTACCAATGTTTTTGGTCCTCTTAACCTTAGCCACCTCCCCCCCCCCATCTATATCTTATTTGTACATAGTTGCTTGCAGGTTGTCTCACAAAACTGTGAACTCCCTGAGAACAAGGACTTGCCTTTTGCCTTTCTTAGCATACAGTAGGCACTTAATAAATGCTTACTAATTGATTTTAGAAATATTAAGTATTTTAAAATTATACTAGTCTTGAAAGCTTTCAACTCATCGCAAAGAGAAACTCTTATCAATCATGTCTAACTACTAATTCTGAAATAAGAGCTGCTGTTCAATCTCTGATCAGCTCAGGAAGTAATGTGGATGGTTCCAGAACAAGGGCAAAGGGTGAGGCCCTGGATCTATCCACCTCAGCAGGAGCTCCGATACCTGAGGGGGGAGGAGGGAGAGCATGCCCCACAAGTGGGAAGTTATAAAGTTGGGTGATGAAGTATCTTGTGTGAGGAATAGCCAGGGCAGTGTCACAGGTTCACAGAGCACTGAGAGGGGAGTAGGTAAGGAGACTGGAAAGGTAGGAAAGGGTCTGCTTATGAAGAGCTTTAAAAGCCACAAGAATTTATATTTGATCTTGGAAGTAATAGGGAGCCACTGGAATTTAATGGCGGGGAGGAGGTGACATGGTAGGACTTTGGTACCCGAGTGGAGGATCCATCGGAATGGAAAATTACATGAGAGCAGGAAACCAACCAGAATGCTATCACAGTTACTTCAGGTCACTTGTGACTATCTGGGGGATGGTGAAAGAGGGAGAACCCTTTAAGGACAGCGGTCTTAGAGAAACTGAGTAGCTTTAGGAAAAACGATTCTTCAGGATTAAGTGACTATAGTTCTAAATTGCTGAAGCAAAATGTTACCTTTTCCCTTACCCTGAATTCTATACCTTGTGTTTTATCATACTGTGAAATTTCCTTATTCAGGAATCCTGTAAATGTAAATTATGAGGAAGAGATGTATGAAGGCATGGCAGACTGTGTCAGTTTGGGCAGTTCTCTCTCCAGCAGAATAATGCTTGCATTTAGAAGAATTGTAAGTTAATAAACATTGTTTCTGGCAGGCTTGTGCCTAAACTGCAGAGTATGACATTGATATATATTTTTTCTACTTTGACAACCACAAGGAAAGCTAAGCTATCCTTTTCAAACCCTGACTATGGGGGAGGATAACAAAAGCACTGATAATAGATGACAAACATCAGTATTTTAAGTAATAGGAGAATTACAAATCAATAACTTTGACAAGAGAACTTTCTGGTCCTAATGCTATAAATACCAAGAGAAATTTATATGTTGTTTCTCTTTCTGGGTTACTTCTATCAGGTAAACCTCAGGATGACTTTCAGTTTCGAATAGCTATGTTCACTTGGTTAGGGCAAGAATATTAATTTCTGACTATCACCAATTAACAGTCAAAATGCAACTGGGAGCATGTGACCTCAAATCAATCATACCTGGGCCATACCATACGATGGGCTACTGAAAACGACAGGATTTGGGTCAGGGAAATGCATTTTGGAGATCCTTTGTTCACTGACCTCAAAATGGATATTGTCTGAATTCAAGATATAAAGGGAACTGTCTGGAGTATATTCTAAGAAGAACCATTCTCCTATAAACAATCAAAGGGTATGAATAGACAGTTTTCAAAGAAAGCGATACGTTATCAATAGCAATGTGAAAAAATGTTCCAAGTCACTGATAAGAAAAACGAAAATTTTTAAAACTCTGAAGTTGCACCTCCTGCCCATCAGATTGGCGATGACTCAAAAAAGAACATAACAACTGTTGGCGATGCTAGGGGGAGGCAGGCACACTTAATACACTGTTGATGGAGTCATTTTGGAAATGTGTACATACATCACTAAAATCTATGCCACCGTTAGGCCACTATCTCAAAGAGATTAAAGGCAGAGGGAAAGGAACCCACATGCACACAAATGTTCATAAATAGCACTTTTTTGTTGGTATAGGAAAGAAGATGAAACAGTGGGTGCCCATCATTTGGGGAATAATTGAATAATTTATGTCATGTCAATTAATCAGCAAGCATTTATTAACTGCCTACTATGGTCCTGGCACTGGAGATACAAATGTAAAAAATGAAACAATCTCTACTTGCAAGGAGTTTATAATCTAAAAGGCAAGAAAGGTACCTATGTAAGTACATGATTCCTAAATATGTGAACATGATGGAATATTTTTGCAATTATATTCTGGAATATAATCAGAATATTACTTAATAGGATATAATAAGAAATGGAAAAAAAGGAGACAGATTTAGAGATACCTGGGAAGACTTGTATGAACTGACACAGAATGAATTGAGTAGAACTAGAGGGGCAATTTATAGTGATCACAATAAGGTAAACATCTGTACAAGGCTTAAGAACTCTGATCAATGCACAGACCAGCCATGACTTCAGAAGATGGATGATAAAGCCTGCTTCCCATCTCTTGTTGGAAAGGTGATAGGCTAAGAGTGCAGAATGAGATCTCCGTTTTTGACTGTGACCAATAAGTGATGTTGATTACACTTGTTACAAAGGAAGGCTTTTATTTTTAGCTCAGGAGAATTATTGGGGGTGGAGATTGACAGTTATGTAAGAAAGTAAAAGAACAGTGATGGAAATATTAAAATTATAGAATATAAGAAAGTAGAAGGAATTTCATAAAGGGACACAGTGTTGGTAATAAGTTCAATTTAACATATACTTAAGAATAATTTGTAGGTAATAGTCATGATTCCATATACAATCATCTTTTTCTGTTTGCTTGTTCTGTATGTGGAAATGTTTCTGTTTGTCAGGCTTATAATAAAAAAAAGAAGGGGGCAGCTGGGCGGCGAAGTAGATAGAGCTCTGGCCTTGGAGTCAGGAGGACCTGAGTTCAAATCCAGCCTCAGACACTTGAAACTTACTAGCTGTGTGACCCTGGGCAAGTCACTTAACCCTGACTGCCTCACCAAAAAAAGAAAAAAAAAAATAGCCCTAAAGAGCTGGTTTTTTTCCGAGAGAATTGTCGAGCATAGGCATGGGCTTTGCCAGAGCCAAAGAATCATTAAGGAGAATAAATCCAGAAATGTAATGGAAGAACAGAGATTTCCCACCTTGGCCTCCCTGACTTGAGAAACCAGAGTAGATAGAAATGATCAAACCAAGTTGAGAATTTTATCTTTGATCCAAAGGAGCTTATAGCTCTTCTAAGAAGGACAGAAACAGGTCTTTAGCTCCTGCTCACACAGGACTTTTGAAAAGCCAGACGAGAGAAACTGTCAAAGGACGAGTTCATTAAGTCCCACCTACATGGGGGGGGCCTTCCTTTACTTTCCTCTACTCTGTTTCGGAGAACAGCTGGGCCCTCAGCTCAGACATATGTTAAACCACCAAAAGATGGGAGACACCACTAACATTCCCAAGCAAATCAGGCAAAGTTCCTCCCGAAGCACAGTCTATATCATTGCTCATATCCAATCACGGGTCAAGTCCTCTATACCTTTAGAACATTTCTCTTAATCACTCCCTTCTCTCCTCGGACACCCCCTTGTACATCACCTCACGCTGGAAGCGCTGCAACAGCTGCTGGTGGGTCTGCCTGCCTCTCCCCACCCCACTCCATCTTCCACTCAGCCCTCAAAATGGTCCCTTCCCAAGGTGCAGGTCTGAACACGTCATCCCATTCAATAAATTCCAAAGGCTCCCTGGCAGCTTCAGGCCCAATATAAAACCCTCTGTTTGGCCTGGAAAGCCTTACCTGGCTGGCCTCGTCCTACCTCTCCAGTCTTACTTCCCTTCACCTACTCTTCAGTCCAGTAACAAGCAATCGTCAACAAACACCAATCAAACCAGTACCTCCTGTATGCCTGGCACCGTGCTAAGAGCTGCTGTTCCCTGACCAAGACACTCCATCTCCGAGCTCCGGGCATTTTCGCTGGCTGTCCCTCAGGCCTGGAAAGCTCTCCCTCCTCATCTCTGCCCCAGGCTTCCCTGCTTGAAGTCCCAAGCTAAAATCCCACCTTGCACAGAAAGCCCTCCTAACCCCTCTTTATCCCAGTGTCTTCCCTCTGTTCTTTCCCACTTATCCTGTATAGAGCTTGTTTGTACACTGATGTTTGAAGGTCGTCTCCCACAGATCTGGGGGAGCAGGGAGCCTGAGACCGTGGGGGGAGGGAAGGAGGAAGGCAAAACTAAACGTCCAGAATGACCTCGAGGGCTGGTCAGTGTCCGGTAGCAAGATAAGACTGGAGCTGATCTATACGTGTCACGTCCAGCTAGAGCAGGGCTGAGACTGAGGGGTGGTGGTGGGGGGGGGCCCTGGAGATCTGGAGGGGCTGGCGGTGTGGGCAGGGCCGAGCCTTGGGCAGGGAGGCTTTGGGGTTGGGGCGCTGCGCTGCATAACCCCAGGTCGGGGGGACCTCGGCCCCTCCCCGCTCCCAAGTTATTGCACAACGCTGGCCCCTCCCCCTCTCCTGCTCCAGCGGAACCTCCCGCCCCCAATCATCCCACCCCAGGACTCTCGCTTCCTCCGGGGCCTCCCCACTCGTGACTGCCTCAGGCGAGGAGAGGTCGCCCAGGGAAGAGGAAGAGCGCCCAAGGGAGGAAGCCCCCGCAGGGGGCGTGGCCAGGACTCTCCACATTAACCCCTTCCCCTCCTCTCGGTCCCCGCGTGCCCGCGGGGCTCGCGCTCCTGGCAGGTCCAGGGGCGCGCAGCTAGGGGGCGCCCCCGGGCTAGGTCCCGGCCGGCGGTAGCATTGGGGAGAAGCCTCCTGACGGTCCCACCTGGTCCCCGGGCGCGCGCGCGCGCGGGGGGGGGGGGGGGGCGCACAGCGGGCGGTCCCCGCCTCGGCCGGGCGCGCGCTTACCCAATGACGTAGGCGAGGATGAGCAGCTGCACGGCGCGGTTCATGAGCCCCACTTTGCGGCTGCGTATGAGCACGATGCGCGGCGTGTCGTACTCGAAGAAGCAGCTCGACAGCGCTGCCGCGCAGCCCGCCATGGCCTCAGCTCGGACCGAGCTCCGCGTCTTCGGCCTCCTGCGGCGGCAGCCGAACCCAGCGGAGCGGGGCGGGGCGGGGCGGGGCGGGAGAAAGGCCGCAGCGGCTCCGCCCCGCCCCCGCCCCCCGCCCCGCCCGGAACCGGAGCCGGAACCGGAGCCGGAACCGGAGCCGGAACCGGAGCCGGAGCCGCCTGCGTGGACGCGGAGCCGGATTGGGCGGGGTGCGAGCCCCTGAGGAAGCCCCCTCTCCGGGGAGCCTCAGGCCGCAGGGTTAGGGACAGGGGGCGAACTTAGGCGTGTCCTGGGTCATTGGAAGGGGAGGGGGGGGCGTTAGGACTCCCGGCGTGGACTCTCCCTCCCCCAGTGCCCAGCGGCAACTCGCTAGTAACTGACACCTTGGAGAACTCCCGGGGCTCCTGAAAATGACCAGCTCCGGATCAGAAGGCCGGCATGTGTCAGGGGCGGCATTCGAACCCGGGACCTCCTGCCTCTGAGGCTTCCGCCCTCTCAGGGCTTACAGAAGCACCTTAAAAACGCGAGCATTCTCATCCTCTTTTAACCGGCTCATGACCGAGCCCGGGGTTAGGGTTGAGGGAATAGCCAGGGCCTGGAGAGTCCAGGGCCTGGAGTGGGGGGATGGAGCAAGAGGCTGGCCCCAGGTTTCTCATGGGACCTTATAGAGTTGGAAAGGTCTTGAAGACGTTAATCCGACCCCCTTGTATCAGGCTGAGGGAAGAGGGGTCCTGCTCAGAGGGACGAGCCATGCGGTCTCGGTCGGTCTCTCTGTCTCTCTGTCTCTGTCTCTCTCTGTCTCTGTCTCTGTCTGTCTCTCTGTCTCTCCCCCCCCTCCCCTCCCCTCTCTCTCTCTCCCCCCCTTCTTCCTCTTCTTCCCCTTTCTCTCCCTCTCTCCCCCCTCTCCTTCCTCCTCTCCCCCTTTCTCTCTTTCCCTTTATCCCCTAGCTCCTTCATGGAGGGAGTCTACATACAAGGAGTTCCAATGACATCACAGGTCCAGCTTCACCTTTCCCCTCAAAGTCCCTTCCACATCCAAGTTCTATCGTTTCACCTACAAAACCTGGGTGGGGTAAAGATGCTGAGTGACTTGGACGCAGGGAAAAGTGTGCTTAAACCCAGGAGGGGACCCCCAGAAGTTTGCTATCACACACCTCTTCATTCGAGGTGCTGATAATGGCTCACCTGTGCAAAGTGCATTTTTGCTACGGGAGCCAGCTCCTCCCACCCGCCAAGGTCAGGACCCCTTTCCCATCCGCAGAGGCATCGGGTTGCTAAGCAATTGATCTCCCGAGATGCAGAGGAGAGTGAAGTATGGGAGGCCCTCGGGGCCAGGGCATCTCCTTCCAAGGCCTGGAAAACAGGTGTAGCCAATTTGTTAAACTAACCCCATAAGCTAATGGAGAGGTAACGTTTGTGCATTTTTACTAGCACTTCTCCGAGAAAATGCCCCCGGAATTTGATTTCTAACCCATTTGTGACCAATGGGTAATCTACTCCATGGTAGTTGCGGTGCAGAGGGTACCTAGTGGAGGGACTTTAGACCAGATATGCCCCCCTGAATTTGTATTAAGTAGGGAACTTTCTGCCACTTTCCTTAGTTTTAAGCCATTCTAATACAGGTGTGATTGACCCTTAATGTAGCTTTGTTTTTTAAACTGAGAGGACACGTGCCCCCTTAGCTGAGGTTAGAACCAGGGGGAGCAGAGGGGTCCCTAGGAGGTGCTTAGAACCAGAGTGTACCCTTCCTCCTATATGTAAGCAATGTTGCCACTCCCTCTTCCGGTCATGGTTTCTTATTCATTTAAAGCATCGGGGATGGGGTGCCCTACTCTGAGTTATCCATGCATCCAGCCAGTATCTGATGGATCAGACACAAGCTTCTATTGGCCCATGTGAAATTATCTCTGACAGAAAAAGGATGTTGCCACTTGACCCATCTAACATTCTACCAAATCAGTCCTTTTTCTGGGGCTCTGCCCAGGTCACTAAGCCCACTGCCAGTACCTAGAGATGGGACTCAGGACAGTCTAGGAGCCAGACTGGGAGTTCGTCTGCATCTCACCCTCATCTTCTACACAATTCTTTCTTGCCAGTTCTGGAAGGAAGGGCCCTTAGAAACTAAAATGCTGGAGCCTTAGTGCAGAGTGTGTTAGATCCAGGAGAGAGAGAATCTAGTCCACTTTGCTCATCTGACAGCTGGGGAAGCCTAGGCTCAGGGTGGGGGAAGGTAACTTGCCTGAGGTCATACCAATATTAATGGCAGAGTCTCCCCTACTAGACTGGAAGCTCCTTGAGGCCAGGACTATATTATCGTAGTCTCACAGGATTTAGAGCTGGAAGGGGACTTAGAATCTTAAATGTGAGGGGTGGAAAGGACCTTAGAACCTAGACTGTCAGAGTGGGAAGGGGCATTGGAATTTGGAATGTGTATGTCAGTTTGGAGAAGCCTTAGAACAGAATTCCAGAACTGGGAGCAAGCCAGAGGCTCAGTCTCCTCTCATGGGTATTGATGAGGACAGATGGGGACACTGAGGCCCACAGAGGGGGAAGTATCTTGTCTGAGATGACACAGTGACAACGTCAGGGTTTCCTCAGCTAGATTATAAGCACCTTCTAGGTAGGACTGTTGTCTTTTAGAATTGTAAAGGAGCTGAGATTAGTCCAATCTACCCATTTTATAGGTGGGAAAACCAAGGCCCAGGAAGTAAAGGGATTTGCCCTCGATCACACAGGCATAAAGGAGCTGAGGCAGTATTTGTACCCCTCTATTCCTCAGATGCCTAGCATGGGACCTTGTGGGATGGGTTGGAATTCAGCTAAGCCTTCTTGCCTAGGGTGGAAGACCCCCGCCAAACTGCTCCTCTGCCTGGCTCTGGTTCTGTCCCTCTAAGAGAATCTCCTTCAAAGACACCCTGTCAGAGGAGCAAGTGAGGGAAAACAGCCTGGGGCTGCTGACCGGATACCTGGGAGAGATCCTGGAAGCCATTGTGGGCTCAGTGGACAAGTGCCCTCCGGCCATGAGAGCGGCTTTCAGACAGCTGCACCAGAGGGTGGACGATCGCTTCCCTGAGACTGAGCATGAGGTGGGAAGAGCCCAGGGTGGGACAGAGAGGGGAAGAGGTAACGGGCTTGGGAGCATGGGACCAAGGAAAGGCAGACATGGTATGGAGGCCTCTTCACGTGCACTCAGGGCACTTAGAAACTCTCTTTTCACAACTGATTCATACACAAGCCGGTGGGGAACCTAGGTCAGGTACTGTTATCTTCACTTTATAATTGGGAGAATTGAGACCCAAAAAGCATAGAATATCAGAGCTGGAAGGGTCCTCAGAACAGGGAATGTTAGAGTTGGGAGGAGGCTTAGAACAGAGAAAGTCTGAGCTGAGAGACCTTAGAACCGAGAAAGTCTGAGCTGGAGGATGTTAGACAGGTAAACATATCGACTTTGCCATTTCTTAGGTAGGAGACACAGTAGGATGTGGGAGGGCTTCTAACACCTCTCTCACTAGCAGGTTTCTCTTTTGATCGGGTCAGACAGGAAGACAAGAATGGAGGGGTTAAATAAGCTTACTTTATTCTAGTCTAGTCTTCTCAAACGGAGTTTGCTGATAATGGGAGCTCCAACTCCTGCAGCATTCCCTAACAACCCTTCTCACAGGGGTTGGCATGAAGGGAGGGCACTATCCCTCGTCTTGATGGGGTCATTCGAGACCAGCACAACTTGTGCACTCTCCTAAATCCCCTCAAGCCTCAATGGGGGCCGGTTGAAGCAAACACACAGATTCCCCCTGCCAAGCCTTGATGGGGGCCAATCAAGACACGCACAGCATTCAGCCTGCACATTCACCCCTATGGGGGTCCCCACTCACTGACCAGTGCCCACCTGCTTTATAGGGCAGCAGACAAGGCATATTGCTAGCAATAGCTTCACAATTTTACATCACTTCATCCCTAAATCTACTGCGACTGCCCAGTAGAAACTGTTTTCAACCATGATCATGAGAGCTCATATCTAACACCTAGGAAGTGGAGAGTGTTATGGCTATGGATCCTGGGAAGAAAACTCTAAGAAAGAATAACAAAAACCCACCTTACACATACTAAAATACACCTTCCTTACAGAGGGGCCTTAGAACAGGGACTGTCAGAGCTGGGAGGGGCTGTAGTGATTTCATCTGACCACCTTATTTTAAAGAGGAGAAGGTGAGGGATCAGAAAAGTTGTGACTTCTGCTACTCTGATCCACACAAGAATCCAAGACAGTTCAAAGGACTCCTGATGAAATATGCTATTCACCTCCATAGAGGGAACTGAGGAACTCTGAGTGCAAACTGAAATACAACGTTTAAACTTGGTTTATTTTTCTTGCCTTTTCTTTTTGTAACATGGCTAATATGGAAATATGTTTTGCATGATCTTGCATGTACAATTGATATATGTGGCTTGTTTTCTCAATGGATAGGAAGGAGGGAGAGAATTTGGAACTCAAAAAGTAAAAATAAATAATTTTTAAAAGAAAAAAAAAGACAAACCATTTGACAGTGTCCTGAAGTTGGGTGGCAAGACCTAATTCTTCCTGAGTTTTCAGCAACTGAGCCCTGATGTACCCTAATGAGGCACAGGCCACAATTACCCACTGTGGTTACAGCTGTGGGTTATAAATCTGAGTACACCCATCATTCAAACTCACTTTCAAGTGTGTGGGAAGAAACGTGAAAAACAGAAACACTTTAAACCTTACCACTTTTGTGTGCTGGGTCTGTGTGTGCTTGTCAGTGTGTCCCTCTTTGAATGTGTACATTTCTTGACATTAGTAATTTGTCTTTGTTGGTCATACATTGAAGTTTTTATTAGGCACTCTTGGTGCATTCAAAAATAAGAGAAATAAGATTTGGAGTTTCAAGGCACCTTGGGGATGATTGAGTCCAACCTCTTTGTTTTCCTGCTGAGTTGCTGAAGCAGGCTGGTGAGCTTGCACAGCCCTCCCTCACTTAAATCCAATTCGCTTGCAAGTGCT